CAAAAGTTTGACATCTAATGACTCTTTCTGTCCTCATACACCTAGGTTAAGAAATCATAATCTCGCAAAGCTCCCTTTTACATTTAAACTGGATTAAAATAAGTTCATGGGAAAAGAAGTTGGGCAATTGGGTTTTGCCTGTTCTGTTGTTGTTTATGGGTTTTTTTGAAGTCTGTGTTGGTGACACTTTATAGACCTCAGCATGATGGCACAGACCAGCTAGAATAGCTTACTATACTACAAAGTAGTAACTAATTGATACAGCCCCATGTTGTTCAAAATGACATATGGAACAAATGGTCTTGAGTTCAGCACCCCTTCTGTGAAAGTCAAGTATTTACTATATCACTGGAATCCACAGAACTGCTTTTGAAATAAGCACCTACTCTCACCAGTATCTGTAGGTGCAGAACTTGAATAGTGTACTGAAATATTCCACAGTAACATTAGAAAATCACACCAAAAAACCACCAACCAACTAAAAAAACTCCAAACTGAACCCAATCAAAGAGCTAATCAAGTTTTAGACATTTTTAAGTCTTATCAAAAAGAGTATGAATTCATCCAAATATTTCAAGAACCTCTCAACCAAGGTGCAATAACTGCAGAAATTAAAATACAATAAGGTAACAATTACAGCTAGTAGATACCACAGGTAATCATTACTATTTCTATATATTTCATTTTGTGGAATCATTACAATAGTGAAGTTTCCAAGTCAATCGTTCAAGACCTCATTTAACATAGATTTACAGCAGTTTCATGACATACGTTACAGAAAATAAATAAGAAAAAATATAACCTGGATTTGTAGAACCGTCCCCCACAAACTGAAAGCCATTCACCTCCTGAATTCTGTACGTCTTTAGCAAATTCACATTTTACTATATAATAGCAAGTTAACTTCAGCCACCACTTGGTGAAAGCAGTTAGCTCAAATTATTTCCCCATTGTTTCAAATGGGTCTGTGAGGAGGCCCTTTTGTCTCTAGAATCAACTGTTCATAGCTAAATACAAACCAGTTAAATGCACTGTTTTAAGGGTCTCAATATATATTCACATCAGAGGGAAACAAGTCTACACATTCATAAAGCAAATTCAGCTTCCATTCTTTTAAGGCAGGTGGCACAATAACAGCTAGATAACATCTGGACAAGTGGGACACATCTTGATATACAGGAGATACTCATTATGAAAACCAGAGTCAAGAAAGATCAGCATTCGGCCTTCCATCATAAAATCACTAACCTCTAAAGAGCAGTAAGAGAAGGAACACAAGACAAACAACAAACAAAAAATTCTCTCACGCCTGTCATGAGAAACAAGCTATCTAACCACACAACAGGAAACAACTTTCCGTAAGAGCATTCTCTTTTGGTTCAGCTTCAATGCACAGCTTTCGAAGATGGTTTTCTAAACCAGTTTGTTGAATTGGTTTTAGTCACCTATGAAAACATATTGCCATGCCACACCATCAAGAAATCAAACTTTCTCTTACCAGGTAAAAAAAAAAAAAAAAAAAAAGAAAGGATACAAGAAAAACAAAATGGAATGACGAGAAGTATGCAGCAAAAGGCTTCATTCTTTGGAAAGGGGAAAAAAAAGGTTAAAAAATTGTGTTTAGCTTCAGTAAATAGAATCCTTCTAAAAATATTTAATTTGTCAAATAGTAAGCAAATCATGCATTACATTAACACACAGCTCTTGCATCAGCTATTGGTTTACAGATCTGAACATGTCAAAGAGTGCAGTCTGGCAACAGATAGCAAGGAAAGATACTGGCTAAGAAGAGGGTGAAAGAATACTTGGACTAAGAAAATATAAAATACTGAATAAGAATGTACTGAATGTTTATTACCTTTAGGACTGTATGGTACTTGGCAATTTCATAAATATTTAGAACTACAGCAAGTCATGATTTACTTGATTAAAGACCTACTGAAAAGCATGCCTACTTTGAAAAAACAGTCAATTTCTAACTTCTCCCAGCAAGCTGATCACTGAGACTGCATTTACTGCAGTCTTCCTTTTCCTCAGTCTCATTTACCATACAGTTTCTGAAAAGAAGGCTTTACTAGTCTCAGGTTTTTAATTTGGTTGAATACAGCCTAGCATAACTCACAAAGGCAAAAACACTGGAGGGTCTTCACGAAGTGAAGATGCAGAGATTTGGCAGGTTCTTCAACTACATCTGCTTCTTTTGGGCTGATCCCCACAATACTGATTTTTGACTAAATCAACACAACCAAGACAGGAAGAAAAACCTTCTGAGTGTCACAGAAAATAATACAATGCAAGGTGAAGTAAAGATGCTACAAAAAGAGGCAAGAAACTTCACAAAGATGATGAAATACAGACAAATGTTACAGAAAAAATTTAGCTCTAGCAACAAAACTGCAATGTAACAGAGTTAAACTCTGTTGCAGATGGCTTATTTTTATTCTATTTTGCTCTTCAGCCTAAGAATTGGCTCAAGCATCTGAAGGCCTGTTTGGAGGGAGGAGCTGCATACTTAAATGCATTTCACATTTTTAGTAGGTGAGCATAATTTCAAAATGCAGTAGTTATCACAATAAATAACAAATTAACTACAACTGGTAAAACTATTCTAGTTTAGGCAACATTGCCTTCAGACTGAAAAATGTAAAAAAAAAGTAACTGCCTGTTGCAGGAATCTACTGATGTATCAGGCTATAGATTTGCTCTGACTTTTCCATCTAGAATTAAAACAGTTGCCTCAGAAGCCATGACGTAGATACACATTCCAAAATGATACTGTAATTTGGATTACTTCTTTTAAGTTTTATGTTGTTGTAAACTCCTTCTGTATATTATTTTCTCCATAATCAATGCTTGCTAATCACTGCTTATTAATGGGGATGGAAAAAGCAGCAGAAAGAAGTACTCATATGCAGTATTTAATTCGCAATTTCTATCTCAGTAAAAGCAGCAAGATTGTGCCATTCCAATGCTTCTCCACTAGAAGCTTCTGAAGCAAAGCAGACAAAAGACGACATAGCTAGGACATTTGTTACTTAAGAGCAGTGCTCAGAAACCTATGGCTATCCATGTGTATAAATAAAGACTGTATCTTCAAGTATGATCCTTGAAAAATGAAACACTTGGAATTACAGTAACATGACTAGAAAGCAAATATAAAGCATCATGCCATAACACCTTCAGCATTCACCCTTAACTTACAAACTAGAAATAAAACTGTTTCATGGCAGACCACTTTAGATATGCTCGAACTACCTTCAAGTGTTTTGGTTTTACGTCACAAGCAGCAAAAAAATAAGCCATATTTATCAAAGCCAGAAGGGGGTGCTCTGAATAACTGAGGTGGAGGGTACTGAACTAAGCATTTGCCTTGCACTACTAAAGAGGTCAAAAGCATGCTGTCTTGTTTTCATTTGGGAGCTCACTTAACTTCACATCCCCATGCCTTTTTTACAAAAAACCAAACAAATAAACAAGCAATAACAACAACAAAAAAACCCAAAATAAAAAAATCTGAAAGCACTCCTTTTAGGAAAAAGGAGTTTGTACTATTGTCATCACAAGGGCAAATTAATTTGTGACAGAAAGCTAGCAACACGAAGACCTGACAAGTGTAAATTCGGTTTACGTGCTCCATGTTTCACAAGCTGTTTAAGACACTAACAAGGAGATACAGGAAATGCAAAAAAGCCAAAACGCCGATTTTACGGGTATTAACTACACAATGCCTATTCTGACATAACTAGTTCAGATCTTTTTAATGTGATTGTCCAGAGTTGACCCCTTATACCAAATTGTCCTGAAACGAAAGAAAAGGCCCTAGTTCATTCTGCCAAGTGTAACACAGTATTCTCATCTCTGCCAGCACTTTGGTGCATCAGCCACCCCCCACCCAACACGAGAAAAAGATACGCACATTCCAATCAAGCCTCTCTCAGCAGGGCTCACCCAGTTCTCCCCCTCCTTCCCTCCCTTCCTCCCTCGCCCCAGGCCCTGCCAGGTTCCCAAATCACCTCTGATTTTAGGTTTCATTTTGTTGTAAACAGCAAAACGAAAGGAGAAAGCTTCCAAAGCGAGGATCCTTACCCTTGTAATCCCGCCATGCGCGCAAATAAGGAGGGTGAATTGTTTTTCCTCTCTCTTTTTTTTTTTTTTTTTTTTGGATGGGCGATGAAGGGGGAGGGGGTAAGAAACAAAAGCCTACACGGAGGAGCGGCTAAGCAGCGGAGACTGAGGGAGAAGGCGGAGACCCTGGTGGAGGAGCAGGGAGAGCGTCAGCCATGTTGTGTGTGTGTGTGTTGGTCCAGTATTTACAAACCTGCAGCTGCAGCAGCGCTTGGAGCCTGGGAGAGAGAGGGGAACGCAGGGAGGGAGAGGGAAGGGAGGAGGGAGGAAAGGAGCGAGGGAGGAGGGGAAAGCGGCACAGCAGACAAAGGATCGCAGCAGCGCAGAGCGAGCGGGGCGCGCACACACCGCGCCGGCGCTATCTCCCGCGGCCCCGGCTCCCCCGCCGCCCTCACGCCCCCCTCGTCCCGCTTTCCCGCCTCCACCTCCCCGGGGAAAGGCCTATCCGCCAGCAGCCCCTCGGCGGGCCCCAGCCCGCACACAATAGCTCCGCAGCGGGGAAAGGGGGAGGGCACCGCTCCCCTACGGGTGGATGCGGCGCGGGGCCGTGCCGGGGGAGGGCGGCAGAGCCCCGGAGCCCGGAAGGGCGGGGGGGGTTGCCAAGCAGCCAGGGAGCTTGCGGGGAAAGGGAGAACAGAGACGACACCTCCAGACCGGAGCCTCCGCGGCCCCGATGCCGCCCGCGGCTTCCGGGCGGACAGGGCGGGGGATCCACGAAGTGAGAGGCCCGAGGGAGGCGAGGCGCGGCCGGCCTGGGAGCGCCGGTCCCCCCACAGCGACTCCCTCCGGCTCTACCCGGTACTGGGCCGGGCCAGGCCAAGGGCGGCGCGACGGGCTGCGCTCCCCCCGTCCCCTCCCTCGCCCCGGTCGCTCACCTGCTGGCGGAGCGGGCGCCCGGGGGTGCCAGGGCTGCCGCTCAGCCCCTCCCAGCCGGGCCGCTCAGCTTCTCTGCGGCGGCGCCAGCAGCGGCGGCGGGCACGGCCGCTCCCCTCGTCTCGCTTGTCCCCCTCCGCCGCCGCTGCCTCCAGCTCGCCTCTGCCACATTTGGATCCCCCTCTCCCTACGCGATCTCCGCCGCCAGGATAGAGGCCTCCTCACCTTCCTGCCAAATAGTGAGCCGCCCGCATCGCGCCGTTCAAAACACAGGGCCGGGGCCCGCCCTCCTCCCCTGCGCTGGCCCCCCCTGGCGGCGCGCAGGCGCACTGCGCCGCCCCGACTGCGGCGGTCAGCCCCACCCGGGCCGCCATGGGCGGCAGCGCGGCCGGCGGGCGCGAGGGTGGCTGGCGGCGTTCCCCAGGTCACCCTGCTGCCCTCAGTCGGCACAGAGAGCCACCGAGCCGTCTCTGAATGTCCTGTTCTGGGAGGCACCCACAAGGATCATCGAGTCCAGCTCTCAGCCCCGCAAGGGACACAAATCACACGATGTGCCTAAGAACATTGTCCAAACGCTTCTTGAATTCTGCCAGGGTTGGTGCTGAAGAAGGTCAAGAGTGTGGTGCAGCTGCCAAAAGGCAGACTAGCACTTAACCTGAGCAGGGTAAGTATTTGTAAATAATACAAGCAAACAACTGCATTTTGTATGAAATTGTCTTCTCATTTCAAGAGAGGCAACGTTACTGGGAGAAAGAAGATGTAGTTCCTTCAAAACTTAAAGGTTTCCCTGAAAACATGTTGATCCATGCAATAAGGACGTGAAAAAAGGGAGAAGCCTTCAAAAATCCATTCTGAGCAAAAGTGGTAGTTAAAAATTCTTTCCCCCTCTTGAAGGGCTGTCCTGCATGCCCCTGGAAGGCTGAGGGAGCAGTACTTGAGGGAGCAGTAATGGAAAACCTGCAAGTAATCAAGATTTGTTCAGCAATTGACAGATGGTAGGAAGATGCCATCTTTTAGCATTAGATGCCAGGACATCTAGGAGAAAATTAGTATGTTTCTTAATCCTTATGGGGAGTATTTTCTAATTCATGAAGCATGCATGATGTAGATGGAGTGGAATACCAGAAAGAAATTTGGTGAGCCATACCAGTGTAATATGTGATGTAAAGTAATTCATGCTTGTGTGGAAAATGTATAAAATAAAAATTGTAAAATAAATTGAATATTCCAAAGAGCCTCAGACCACGGACAGCCCAGAGACAGATTACCACACTGAAGTTGTGAAACTCTTGGTAGCAGTAAGAAAGAATGCCTCGTTAACTAATAAAAGATGTGGCTGGTGCAGAGATGGGCTTCCCCTGGAACCATCCGGGAACACCCAAGGACGATCAGCACTTGATAAGCATCATCAATCAAGACAGCTGAAGTTGTCAAGAGCATACATCCGAATACAGACTTCTCCTGACATGATCAGCGCCCGCCACCACACAGCAATTGTCCAGCCCTGTACAGTGAAAAGAAACTTCATGCAAATGCGGGGTGACAAAAGGAATGGGGGCGCCTCTGCCTCAGGCAGAACAAACTGTATAAAACAGCGCTGCTGGAGACAGCATTTGACAGAAGGAGGCCCGATGTGATAGAGGTCAGATCCAGGTTCACCCAGCGCCGATCCCGGGCTCGACGCTGTCTCTTTGGCTGTGGCTTCTGAGAACCGAATTTTTGGTCGCCTTTTGCTATTATTATTAATTTAGCTTTCTTGCTGATCATTTATAACACCAGAAATTTTCAGATGAAACTGTCTAATTAGGGGAGGAAAAAAAAAAAAGTAAAATAATCTGGAAATATATTGATGAAAATATGATACAGTGTCATCAAATCCTAGTCCATCATTTTGGTAAATCATTACAGCACAGACCTCTAAGATCCATTCATACTGTCATGCTGACAGTGAAATGGGAAACATCAGTAAGATTGTTACCTTCTGACAAATTTGTCTAATAATGGAAGCAGTTGGATAGCTGATCTGCCATAACAAATCATACTGGTACCTTTTTCTGAAGCAAGGCTTGGCAAGAAATTAAGTCAGCTTGGGGAAGGGAAGATTTTGTTCAAAGAATGGACATTTGGGATTTCTTAGTTCAACAGTAGCAAATGCACAGGGTAGTATCCAAGTTACTAAGTCACACATCACATCATTCATGAAGTCTGTGCCTGTGACAGAAAGTAAAATATGGGTATGTGAAGGTACAGATGCACATAACTTTGCTTAAAATTCTTATTGGCAGAACAGGAGAAGAATGTTATTTTTAGTTTCTCCTTTGTTGTTTTCACATCTCTTAATTTCATCCAAGGAACTGTGTCCCCAGTAATTCCTGTGATAAAAGGATTCTGAGATTCTGAGAGATTATTCATTTGCAATTTAAAGGAAGAAACTTCTGAGAAAGAAAGAGAAAGAGAGTGAGAAACAATGAAGTAGGGGACAAAGATTGGTAAAGATGAGAATACAAGTTAATAATGCTGTACTATCTGTGTAGGATTGTAAAATCTGTAACCAGCTTTGCATATCATTAGATAAGCAATCATTGGCTAAATTTTCCTGAAATTAAAATAGACATAGAGTAATAGAATTGTGTAGCTAGGAAGGGACCTTCAAAAGTCATGTAGTCCAATGCCCCTGCAATGAGCAGGGACTTCTTCAACTAGAGGTTGCTTCAGCTCAGGTTGCTCAGAGCCCCATCTGTTTGACCTTGAGTGTTTTGAGGGATCTATCTGCTGGGCAACCTGTGCCTGTGTTTCACCACCCTCATTGTAAAAAATTGCTTCCTACGATCTCTAAATCCCCACTCACTTAGTATATAATCATTTCTCCTTGTTCAGCTGTTACAGCTACTGCAAAAAGGTCTCTCCCTGTCTTTATTACAACCTTTGCTTAAGTACTGAAAGGCCACTGTGGGGCCTCCCTAGTGCCTTCTCTTCCTCAGGCTGAACCATCCCAAATCTTTCAGCCTTCCCTTATGCAGAGGTGCTTCATCCCTTTGACCATTTCTGTATCCTTCCTCTGGAGTGACTCCAACAGATCCATGTCCTCCCTGTGCTGGGAGCCCAGAGCTGGATGCAGGTTCCAGGTGGGCTCTCCCCAGAGCAGAGCAGAGGGGCAGAATCCCCTCCCTCCCCTGCTGCCCACGCTGCTCTGGATGCAGCCCAGGACACGTTTGGCTCTCTGGGCTGGGAGTGCCCATGGCTGCGTCATGTCCAGCCTCTCACCCACCAGCACCCCCAAGCCCTTCTGGGCAGGGCTGCTCTGCATCTGCTCATCCCCAGCCTGGATTGATACTGCAGGTTGCCCTGACTGAGGTGCAGCACCTGGAACTTGGTCTTGTTAAACCTCATGAAATTCACATGTTTGCTGAGCTTGTCGAGTTCCACAAGAATGATATCTTATCCCTTAGTTGTGTGAGTTGCATCACTCAACTTGGTGTTTGCAGGTAACACTGAGGGTGTACTTGATCTCACTCTCTGTAACTTTGATGAAGACATTAAACAGGACTTGTCCCTTGAGGGACACCACTTGTCACCTACCTCCATCCGGACAATGAGCTTCTGAACGCTGTTCTGTGGATGCAAGCATCCTACCAATTCGTCATCTACTGAACAGTCCACCCATCAAATCATGCATGACTGTTCAGACAGCGAGAATACATAGATCTGAATATATGGTGTGGGACATACTCCATCATGGAAGGATATTAACAGCTACTTAATATCCTAGCTAGTTAATAAGGGAAGGATAGTAACAGCTTCTCATAGTGGCTGTGGTGCTATTTTTCTGAAAGGATTTAATGGTACCAGGATGGATTTGTTCTTTTGAGCTGTCATTGACTGTAGCAGGATGCTCTGCCTAAGTGGGGGTAAATAGCTCTAACCTCTATTTGTAAAAGTTATCACTGGTAGATAGAGAAGGGATTCATGTTGCTTTTGTTGAAGCCAGCCTGAGTCTTTTATCCCAAAACTAAACATTCTGAGGATGTGAAAACCAGTGTTCTGACAGCAACTGACATTGCTGAGGAGGCTGCAGACAAAGATCCTGATTAAGAAACCAGCAAGTGATTACACTGTAATCAATTTAAAGGTGCTGAGTCCAAAGGCTGCTGAGCTGACATAGCTGGCCTAGAAACATGTAATTTACAGTCAATGACTTGTACTATGAAAACCCAGTCCCTCTTCTTCCAGGAGGAACTTGCAACGCAGTCCTTCTAGGAGTACATGTGGAGATTCCTCCCTTGAGTGCTGATGTCCCTCAGAGTTGCTTTGCCCATGGTCTTTGGTTTGGATAAGTAGCATCAGTCTCCATTTAATAATTATTTAGCTAGCTTCAAAATTATTGATTTAACAAATAGCACACTCTGCTAGTAGTTACAGTCCTGACTGAAGTCTTTTAGTCTAATCACTATCATCAATTAAAGTAACTGATTTACTTTCTTCATCTGGATGTGTTTGGTTTGTCATCCTCAGTCTTGTAGAACAAAGTCATATAAGTTTCGATCACACCTATGTAGTCCTTTAGACATAATCGTTGGTTCAGTCTGTGACTAGGATTGGATCCAGCACACCTAGACTTCTCTCTGAGAAGGAGTTCAGAAGGCAAGGGAGTTTTTTCTGAACCCTCTGTCACAATGGGAGGGTCTCTCTGTTTAACTTTGTCTGAAGCTTCCATTCAGATCACAACGTATAAGAACCAATTCTAGTCTTCCTACACTTTGTCAGTTCAGATGTTTCTGTACTCAGGAAGCCAGACCAAAATAAGCATCGCCAATAATTCCAGTTACCATGCTCACCCAGAAGCCTTCGCATTGTACCACAGGCTTGTTCCTCAGTTTATGGGCCACAGAGCATAAATGGGATGTAGCTGCTTTTCGCATGAAATAGTACTTGAGTCCAATGAGGTCTTGTTCCTGATGCCATCAGGCCATGTGTGAAGTCAACAAAGTTCCTGTGGTCCCAGGAGCAAGAACTGAATTCAGTCCTGCACACACTCCTGACATTGTGGTTTTGTTATGCAGTTGGTGGCGGGAGGAGCAGTTTAAAAGGAAAACTATAACTACTGTTAATCCTGAACTGTGTCAGGGTTGTAGTTGTTTTCTTCTCTTGGGAAGAGGGGGAGAGCCATTACTTTGGAAAACCCTCATAGAAAAGGATCCTCAGTGCTATCAAGCCATTCCTTGCTTCAGGATCTGAAGTGTGATGATCCCTGAGGCATAGGAGATCACTTGATTGAGAAGCTCTTGAGAAA